ACTCCCAGCCCACAGGGCAGCTCGTACCTCTGGAGACCTTCATCAGAAAGCACAGGAGCCTCCAGGCCATGGAGAGGACCTTCCCTGCCAGAAGATAAGGATGTCTGGCCAGGTTGTCACCAATCTCCACTTGCCCCAGGACTCAGATCCCAGCTCAAATGGTTCTTCAGATTGTCCCTAACCCCAGTCTCCCCCAGCATCCCAGTTTAGATGTACTGTCCCCAGTCCCCAAGCTGCCCTGAGCTCCTCTGCAAAGCCACCAGCCCTGCCAGGTGCCTTCAAGGCAGTGGAGCTGGCACATGGGCAATCCACGGTGCTGAGCACCAGGAGCCCGACGGCTGGTTTCTCACTGCTGTGTGCAGAGGAGGCTGGGCTGAGGGAAGGGAACAGCCAAGGAGATGTAAACCTCATCGTCTGCCCTAACGGCTGTGCCAGGACCACGGAGGTTCTCTGCCTCTGCTTGGCCAGAAACTCTCACGCTATCAGGAGAACATCTCTGAGGAGCCACTCATCACCGTAGCTACTCCCACACATACCTGGCCCAGGCCACACCGCGGCACACCCCCCAAAGGGCCGGGGTGATGGGCCCGGCTTGGGAAGTGATGATCCCAGCTTGGGAAGTGACCAGATCTTCCTGCAGCACATCTGAGGCCGGAGTTTGGGGACCAAAGCACAAAGAGCGTGGTGGCTTGTCCTTGGTGCCACTGCATCTCTTGGAGGCAGGGATGCTCCTGGCAGGGGACCCAGGGCTCACCTGGAGAGCTCTCGCTCCATGGGAATGGCTGAGATGCCGGTAACGGGCTTTTGCCATAGACTTTGTCCTCCTTAGCCTCGTGTGAAGTTTTTTATCCAATTGCCTTTTCCAGGGAAAACACTGGTTGAGCTGGAAGGATGGGATTGAAGCTGTCGGATGGACAGAACCACCTGGACTGGGGCACTGGGACTGCTGGTCCTGCTCTTCCCCACAGCCCAGCTGTGATTTAGGGGCTGGCAGACCCCCTGGGCTCCTTCACGTTGAAAGCATCCCCCACACCTCCCACACCCTGTCAGCTCCCTTCACCTGGTGAAGGGCTGGTTTTCTTCCTCTAGCGCTGCGCCATGGGTGTCACAGGATGCAGGGACACTTGGTCCCATGGGTCCAAACCCCCTGGACAGGTCACCCTCCTGTTGCCAGCTCTTGCTTCCCAATGAACCATGCACTCAGGAGTGGGAACAATGCCCAGTGGAGCAAGGGGACTGGCGGGGAATGGTGCTGTGCAGCCCATAGCCTCATCCAGGTAAAAGGGATCTCTTCAGCCCTTCTTTACCCTTAATAGCTTCTCTGTAATCAAAGGATCTACAAATACGACTTTGTAGGAGATATTGCTAGGAGTAAAATAATGACTGCAGCTGCCCGATGTGCTGGAGCTGACACGTTTATCTGTTTATCTGCTGTAGAGGTGGCTGGAGGTGGCTGGAACGGCTTCCTCAGTCAGCAAGAGTGAGGCAAAGGCTCTTCTAAGTCACAGTCCTGTCCTGGAGCAACAATTTATGTAAAGCAGCTCCCGCCCCACTGCAGGAAAGGCACTGCGTTTGTCCTGGAGCAAAGCACGGCTGGCTCAGTAATTAAAGCAGCGCTGGGATCACCTAACGAAAGCAGCGCTGGGATTGTCATTCCCCATCATGGGCTGGATGAGGCTCGTGGGGAGTCTGGCAGGTACCCTGCACCCCACCACTGCACCCCAAAGCCAGAGGGGCATTTGGGACAAATTCTCTTTTTGCATTTTCCCCAGGGAAGGCGCAGAGCGATTCCAAACGGTGGATGGGGAGGATGTGGGCACAGCTGCTGGTACCGCCTGCAAGAGCACGACAGTGACAACGGAGGGTGACAGTATATGTGGAATAGTGTGTGTCTGGCACAGCAGGGACATTGTGGCCACGCTGGCCGGGTCCACACTGGGGCTGGGCTCAGGTCAGAGGCTTCATGGCCCCTGGGCATGAGCTGCATTCCCATCACCAGGGTAGAAGTGCCACCTCCAGGAGCACCTCCCAGTAAGACACAACAATTAGCACTTGGCACTAAGTCACTGGATGCCACTTAATTACTCTGAAGCCTCTTAATTTTTCTTCCCTGTATCACCCTCACCTGAGAGCTCCCCACACCCAGGAGCATTCCCTGCATGGGATGAATTTTCTAAGCATGC